GTTGGATGAGGAGCTTAAAGAACAGCCCCCACGATCAGACATACCTGTAGAGCATAAAATATTAAAATATTAAATAACAATGGAAAAAAATTAAACAGGCTGTTATGTGCTCTAAAATACGGCAAGGAGAAACAATAAAGAATAACATTCAAAAACCTTGACAAAGCATTTTAATTTTAACATTTTAAATACCTTCAAATAAATGGCTGTGGTTCACTCAAAATATTTACAAATGCATTCAAACTGCTGTGTATTGTATGCTGGGTTAAAAAAAAAAGATTTTGAAATATTTGGATGTTTTTTTTTCTCACAATTCTCAGAGTTCAAGTAGTGTGGACCAGTCAAACTTGCTGTTTTTTCTCCTGCGAGGTTAAATTCTTAAACATTCACAAAAAAAGGTTAGCATACTCTCAAGTGTTGCACTGTGAAAAAAGGACCGTGGTCATGAGACAAACCAAATCAAACGTTCTGAGCTGCCTGAGAAAACGGGGTCTTTGATGGGCTTTTTACAATATCTGTAATACCTTTGACCTGTGGGTGGTCTTTGGGAAGAAACCAGTTGGAATGTGGCTGGAGCCATAAAATAACACTGTACAGTATATATCTACCACTACCAAAACCATACATACAATTCCTTAACCTTGCAGACATTAAAGACTGAACATTCATCACTATTTAATTTGAACTTAAAAGCGTGTGATACTCACTCATGTTCTCGTGAGTAGAGAATCCACCACAGACATGCAAATCTTTTCAGCAGCAAGGGAAAAGAGGGTAGGGGTGGTCACTAATAATTTTTTCAATTTTTTCAATTTTAAGCATGTTGCATACAGTGTGTGGAAGCAACAGATAGTAAGTCACAGACAATTATTTTAGAAGCAGTGTGGAACACTCTATCCAACTGTTTTTTCTCTGGAGAGGCTAAATTCTCAAATCAGACTGTCACAGAAAACATTAACACTCTCTTAACTGTTGCCCTGTAAAAATGGACCATGGTCTATGTTACACACCAAACTTTCTGAGTTTGCTGAGAAAAGGGTTTTTGATTGTCTTATGTTATACGTACAGTACATTGGTCTCTCATTCAAGATGGAGAAGACTGTTGTGCCATGAAACTTAAAGGAACAGCACCTAATTTCTCCACTATCTCAACATCAGTCACAGAATTCTACCCTTGGGAAGTACTTGTATTTAAAACCAATGGCTATGAGAGCTTCTGATGTACTTTGGCCATCCACCTCCTACTTTATAAAAAAAATCTAGAAACTAGAAACTGTTTATTGATTCACATCCATGTCAATGAAAGCTGATGGAACAGCGTCTGAGGGACTATTGTACTGTATTAAAAGCCAAACTGTAATCTATGAGCAAGACCAGTGTGTACCTCAAGGTGCAGGTACAGAGAGGCAGCCTCCTCAACAGCACTTGTTTATTTTGCATACTAGCCAGTCAAACACTTTCATAATGGCTGATGTGAGATTACCAACCTGTAAACATTCAAACATGTTACATTCAATATCTTTGGCACTGGGATAACAAAAGCTTTAAAAAAAAGCTGATACAAATCTGCTCTATATTTACTGTATATCAACATCCATAACAAAATTGTTAATATTGCAATTTGCTGTTGAAGTACGGTATGCACCACTCAAAACCCTGAAATATAATTTTATTTGCAAAGCAATGGTAAATACTGGCAATTAGGCAGTCTGCAAGAATGAGACTAATACTATACTGTAGTTGGTTCCTGAATCAGAGCCCTGCGGTAGAGCTGACCACTGCCTGGCAGCCTTTGAGTAAGTTGCCGGCAGCAGCCCCTTCCCGCCAACAGCCATCGAAACCTGACACCCTACGCAGGCAGGATCTTAAGACAGTTCTCGCCAGAAGGCTTGTCAAGCTTCACCCATGCACTAGAACCCTGCTCTAGTCCATGAGGGTTCACCAGGTCAACCCCTGCCAGGAACCAGGGAGGCTGTGCTGGTGTGGCTCTGACCTGACCAAGGACCTGACACCCTGCCAAGGTGAGCATCTCTGGAGTCTTGCCCTGTAGTTCCAGC